CTGAGTCTGGGTCTTCAGATCACGCCCAACGATCGTTTACCGTTCTGGTAGACGTATTGTTGTGGGTTTATCCTACCTACACTAGTAGCTAGAGTTGCCGTGGGAATTACAACACCACAGCACTGTATCACTGCCTGACTCGTAGCTGGGGTCACTCTCGGTCTAGTAGATCGTCGCTCTTGGGTAAGTCGTTAGCTGAAGCCTTGTCAGAGGATGGATCATCCTCAGCAGGTTCAGTATCGGGTTCTTCAGCAGGTATGCCGTTGACGCTTGTGTTCTCGGTCTCCGTAGGTCCTCATCTCTGCGGCTGCTGACGAGCTCGTTCATATTTGCCATGGCTTCTTCAGGAGTCATCTTGTCAGCGTTAGTGCGAATAAAATTGAGCATATCCTACTAATCACGCGTTAGACACACCCAGCCCAAAGCCAGGTACGAGTTATCACGGTGGTGGGCAGCATGGTACGTGTACACTAGGAGCTAGCTGAGAAGACCGATGAAAATCGGGAATGACTACTTTGAACGAGCGACTTTTCGTGCACGTCCTCTAGAGGATCAGCCAATCAGATATATTGGGTGGGGTTGAATACATTTTATTTTTACCGCAAAAAAAATCTTTCACTTAAGGAGATCATCAATCTCGGCCTTTAGCTTAAGTGATTTTTCATTTACAAATTGATTTTTAGCTAGCCACTCAATGTAAGGACGATCAATAGATATAATCTGTTTAACTGCCTTTCCCTTATACTTACCCCACGTCATAAGGTACGATCCATCACTCTCACCAAGTTTTCCATCGAGAAACTTTTTAATACCATCACAAATTAGATTTGGCTGGTTCTGCAGCCATCGACAGTATCCAACATCACTATCATATATTTCTTCAATCAGCTTGTAAACTCATATCTTCAATATTTTATCTATATATGTATAGCGTCATATTCTCGTTAGTTTTTATTAAGTGTCTCTTACTTATTAAAGAGGCCATGGATTCTGAAGTTGCATTTATCGAGACAGTTTACCTGTCGCGTTGCGAACACGGTTCGCTCGATAGTAGCAGTGACGAAGAAAAGGAGGAGATCTTAGACCTTTTGATCTGGGTCTCTGACCCAACCTTTCAGGCTGAACCTTACGATAATCGTTCAATATATGCTGATGCGGCAAAAAAAAGAACACAGTAAGATGATACGATTACGTGTATAGGCGGAAAAATCTATATCGCAGCCTATCGCTAAAACACAGAAAAAAAGAAAGTTCAAGAGAACTTTTCTTAAGCTTCCATAGCCTTATTCTTTTTTTTTTTAAAGTCGAAATTCCTTTCTGCTTTCCTTCATCATGCAAGTGCTTAAAATACTCGATTTCAGTTGCGCTTTTCCTGCTCTATTTACGAGTCGCAGATTATCTTGAGGCTCCCAACTAGGTTCCGTGGTATGCTTCCACTGAACTTGATTCTTGTCATTTTTTTTAGCGTTTTGTGCGTTATGATTTTTCAACTTCATAGATGTTCCCCATCTTAAATTCTGCATCTGTGTCGGGTGCTAATACAATTTTAAGTCGTTTGGTGACTTGTAAAGTGTATGGTGATTCTTGGAACGGATATGAACTCGATATCCATCCACATCAACAACCGTATAAATGGCTTTACTCCATCTAGCAGCTTCTTCATCAAACGTTTGCTTTTTTTAGACGATACATAACATGAGCCCCAACCTCAAACTGTTTTCAACCTTATCAGCTTCTTCTTGATTATGATTTAGCTCAGACACCATTACCTTCCATACAGCTTCATTTGAGGTCAGACCTATGGAGCGGTTGAAGGTAGAGTTATAATTTTCGATTTCATCACTAAGTAGCTTATGTGATATACGTTTTGGTGATATTTTATTAGGTTTTGCTTAAGGGTTCTGTTAAACCGCTCAATTTTTCCCATAGTTCCGTGATCACCAGGCTCGTTGTTAAAATGGTCAATATTTTTGCTATTAAAGAACTTCTGCAGCTGAGCATTCATGAATTTGCTTCCATTGTCACTCGTAAGGATATCAACTTTGTGCATCCGTACAAACGCCTTAACAGATGCTAGCACTACTTGAGCGGTATTGTTGGATAAAAGTTTGCATACCCGATTCTTGAGTTAATGTTGACTGCTGTCAATATTGGTTGTTTCTCCCAGAACGCGAGATCGATTTGCCAAGAGTTTGGATTATGAGAAGCTATTTTGAAGCCATCAAATCTCTTCTTCTGAACTTGAAATCATTGTAAATCGGTTTGAGTCTGATACCATGTCTTGACGAGTTTTACATAGTTTTGGGGTTTAACTCTTTTGAGTTTTGATATAGCGCTTGGACACCGATATAACCTGTTTAGGGTTATAATACAGTTCATGTAGTAGTTCATCCATATCACTTCGATAGACTTGCTCTATAGCTCTGTCAAGGTCTGCCCTATATGAAACATTATAAAAATTATGTTTTCCTCCCAGAAGCGTATTTATATATCAAAAGGAGCAGTGGTAATTCCATCGTCTAAGACACGTCTCTCGTCATAATAGTAGTTGAGAGCCGTTTTTGTCTGCGTATAAGTGATAATAGCCGTTGTTTCTTTACTTAGTCGAAACCCTTTGTTCGTACCTTGGAGCGTGATGCGATCTCGAACTAGTGATTCAAAACTGTCAGGGTTAAGAACATCATCATTACGGCCATTCCCTAGCAGACAGGTTGACCTAGTATGATTCATCAGGGAGGTAGCAGACGTAGTTCTTAGACAATAGCGAAACCATCGCGTTGCCTGTCCATTCATCTTTGAATAAACCTGGTGTACGATGATCGAACTTAGCGACCTCCGAATTGTAGTCACGAGGAAACCAACCATATTTGTGTTGCTTGAAGTGGTCACGTAACCCAGGTTTAACACAGTTCTGAAACGGATTCTCACAACTGAAAGCCATGAACGCAGAGTCTGTATCCATTTCCTGATGCTGAAAGTCGGTCATATAGAAGTAGAGGTCGATGCAGTCGTTGTAGAACTGTAAAATACGAACTTTAGCTAGCTGATAGATAACAATGCTTAGATGAATCGGATTTTTGTTTTGGTTTTCATGGTGATCTCACATGAGCAATTAAGCTCCTTCAATCCGTGAAATGTGAAGTGCTCAATTCTAGACTTTACTGCCTGATCGTCTGACTCATATTTCACTTTTTTGTGCTTGCTCATATCCATGCCACTATGACCAATAGCGCTGTTGCCGACAAGTTTCATCATCTCTGCAATCATGGCTTTAGACTTATCAGCATCTCCCTCACGTCGAGCGTTTGATACGGCCTCCATAAATGGAGCAAATGTTTTGTGGGACTTGATAAAGCTATAAGTCTTGGTGATCTCCATCCCATGAGCAAGGTACCACTTCAACAAAGGCGTGTAAAATACAATCTTCTCTCCAAAGTAGCTTCCGTTTAGTTTTCGAGCCGGCCTGGCTCGACTTTTCTTGCGTTCCTCATTGTAGCTGAACATATGTGATCCAATTACATTTTCATTGGTGCAATCGATTTGAGTATTTTTCAAGACAGGCGTCATCTCACTAAAATACTTTTTCAAGCGGCCTGGAGTACGGATATCACATTCAGGAACCCGAATACCTTGTCAGCTTGGATATCGTCAACAATACCCGGGTGCGTTTCAATCGTGGTTAATCGACCGCATGGCATTTCATTACCTAGCACCCATAAATATAGAGCATTGGTATCGTATCCGATGTTTGCTTACAGATCTTGCCACCTCAAATTTTAGTCTCATCGCGTTTGGCGTATCTGTTGAAGATGATTGAAGGTCCTCCAGCAATGTTAGCCTTACCACAAATTTCTTTCTCCTCCTTATCAATGCTGTATACTGGCGTATCTGAGTTGAACTCGAGCAGCTTTTTGTATCGAAAGCCCTTAAGGAACATATCTTTACGAGCAATATTACAGTCCACACAACTGAACAAGATATTTCCATTGATATTACCAAGCTTATTGTTGATTCTATCAGCCGAGGCCGTATCAACGGTCAACTTCTTGTAGCACAGTCCACAAAGGTATTTTTGCGATGTAGTAGCTTGTTAAGATGCTTTAGACTCATATTGAATTTACGCTTAGCTTCGGCATCCTGGCTCTTGTAGCCGATCATACGCTTAATTGGAAAGCTGAACACTATTGCAGGCACCTTATTTGGGTACCGTAGGTTCTTGAAGCACGTCTGATACATAATCTTCTCTGAAAGTCCGGGGAGAGATACACCATCCGTAAACATATCGAGGTTAAAACGCTTGAAAAGCTGGCACTGTGCCTTGATGGCCTTTATGAAAGGGGCCACGTCGAGGTTGTTGTACCAAAAGACCAGGTCCTTAATCGATTTCATCTCATAGTGGCTCCAAACGAATTGAACTCGTTTGTAGTCTTCATCGCTGATGGCTGTACCTCGGAGCTTACTATCAAACGCTGATTTAGCTGGGATATCAGTTTCTTGAAGTACGTTGTAATGTACTCACAGGTGAATATACCCTTACCAAGCCCACAGACACATCGAACCTTGTCATTACATTTGAAGTTCCCCAGATATGTACTTAAATAGTCGCTATAGCTGGTTCCAGCAGGAGCGTAATTGCTAATGTCAAGCATTTTTATGTCTGAAGACGCTATACAATTGTAAGAAGGGTTCTTGATGACTGATTTGATATTGTTTGTGCCAATAACAGCGAACAAGTAGCTCTCGATAAGGTTGATATCCTATCTACCCGAATTAAAGCCAAGAACCGGGACCTGATCAATTGTCTGCTTTAGATTTCCATAGTCGGATCGCTGCTTTCCAAAGCCGATCTTGTTGTGGAAATCAAAGAAGTTTGCGAAACGTCCAGCCCTAATCCATTCATCAATATTACTAGTAGTGTACTTAGTGCCAAGGTTAGCACCTGGGATTTCCATACCAGTTAATCCATGGGTGTTAATGATCTTGCGAAGCAGTGACTCATATTTAGAGACGTTGTATCGCCGAATCTTTTCGCCAATGTATCCGATGCTCTCAAACATTTCCTTTAGAAGAGCCTTAGGATTGTCATTGACAAAGCAACGGACTTCCTCGGTTAAGCATATCGACCACAGACACTGATACAGGGATATGTTCGTTGGTGAAGGTGGTACTCTTCCCGCGCTTTGTTCCAGTAGGCTTCAGAATAGCTTCAAAGTCGTACACTATGAAGTGATCAAGATAATGATCGGTGTTCTTGATTGAATACTTTGTTAGCATTGAGCCGATGGCATTTGGAGCTAGACGATAGATAGCCGGCTGAGCTGGGAAATATTCAATGTTAACACGCTCGCACTGGTTTTTGGCATGATTCTTAGGCCTCTCTGAGCTAACAAACACCATTTCACACTTAGAGCACTGATATTTGTGCTGAAGCATGTCCAAGTTCTTGATATAGAGGGCATGGTTGTCGTGCGAGAGAATGTTGGCAGCATCGTACTCCTTATCTGACCGGCGAATGCAATCAACATTTCCGAAGTCAATCTCCATCGTGAAAACGTTGATACTAAGCTGAAAACACTCCTCGAGTTCATCGAACTGGAGGATATCAAGAGGCTTAAAAGTGCGGTAGAGCACTAGAGTGTAAGTGATATCCTTGAAGGAGCAGTACTGCTTGAAGGCCTGCTTTACCAAAGCTTGAATTCTTCGTCGATCTTTCTTTGGATCATCCTGATTGTGATAAACGATACAATGGAAGACGCACTTATTTTTCGTCTTCGGGACTTTTATTGTCGCGGATAAAATTAGGAATAATTGCTTCGCTATCACCAAGTGCATGCTAGCAATGATACAAGAAATTTTTGAAACCGGTGATAGCCTTCACCATGTAGCCAGAATTGAGATAATTCAGTCTGTCGGCTAGTTCCATGGAGTGAATATCTGAATTTACCTTACGAATATCGATCTTACTGTTGACGGCAACGGGGGAGTTGAATACAGATGTATTACTTAGATTTGGGTGAAAGTACCTCGTTTCCGAATCATCAGTTTTACTAACAAGGTCATAGCCGAGGGCGATATTAGCCTTGTAAGCTCTGGTCAGACTTTCGAGATCATTTTCGAGTTTTTCGTAGAACGCACCACGTTAGATTCCCGCGTAGAGGTGTGACTCCATGTGGTTGCCCTTGTAATAGCGATAGTGAGGATCAGTCTTATAGTCTTGGGATAAGTTAGCCTCCAGCTTTTTGAGACTGACCTTGTACTGCTTAGCTACAAGCTTTACTACATGTTACTGGGACGCGACAGGTTGCTGACATAAACCATATTGCCAGTTTTGCCGCGCACCTTCACTCAGAAGGTTCTACCTCATCGGATAGCACGGATATTTAATCGGTTTAGCCCTTCAAGTGCGTACGAAATATTTGCTATATATCAGTTGCTATATTTCCTTGAACTTGACTTTATTTTACTGGGATTTTGTATCAGGATAGACTTTATATTAGGGTAGAGAGGGAAAAATCGATTTTAAGGTGTCGTTTCACTAGATTCGGCATATGTCTTGCGTTTGCGAGCACAAATCTGCTCACGATTTTTATCGTCATAACCCTTCTTATAGGATAAGCGAGCTGCACGCGTACGCTCGTAATAGCGCTTTGTGTGGCTTTAATGCGCTCTTTATTGGCTGGGGATTCAGGAGTGAAAAGTTTTAACGAGCACGTTCAAACGTTCTTAAGAATATGAGGAAGTAGAGCTGACGGAATAAGAGCTTGAAGTAGGGAATGAGAGCGAACCGAGTGATCGAAGTGCAACGCCCTTGATGGAATATAAAGAGCATTCAGTAGCGCAGGAGTAGAACGGGATCCGAGCAGCTGCGCGGATTCAGTTGACGTAACGATCGCTATCTTAATGCGCCAGCGACGCTTACAGTTCTCGAGTATAGAAGATATACTGTCAATGACTCGAATGGTAATATGAATGAATGCCAGCATCGCAATCAGAGCCACAAAACCAACAAACATGTAAGCAATCATAAGAAAGATCGTGTTAATGGATTGAAGCATTGATATCAACTCAACGGGCGTCCGTTGGATCCGCATGGTGTTGTATGGATGTATATAGTGTATACTTAATCCATTGCTTCATTGAGCTGATCTAGAAATGATGCAGCCAATAATGCCATTACCGTTCTTCGAAGCCTAAACATATCTATATTTCTTTTACGAAAGACTGAGTTATCTAAACTACCACACTACCCAGGGATAGATAGGTTGTTTTGCTCGTTATGACATGCCCGGCCCTTTAAAGGAGAAGGAACGCACTCCTGTGAAAGGATTAACAAAGTAATCCTTTCAGTAATACATGTTTGCCCACGTTTAAATTGTTCAATTAGTTGTGCTGAAGCGCCTTCTTGCGGCTGACCAAAAGGCGCCCATTGTATATTGGAAAAGTGAGTATTAAATTGAATTACAAGTACTGGTTCGTTTAGCTAATCCTCAGATGGGCTAAGATAAACTAACTTACTTCCAGCTTGCTAGGTTATGCAACCCCACTCTTATCTTGCGGCATCTTGAACAATTTTTGTCCATCTACCATGCTGTCATAATACTAGCATCCTGCGGTGGCACGTAAGTATCCTGCGGTGGCACGTAAGGGGTGGCGTTCTCGATACGCGGCTGTGCAACATCGAAGCACCACACCAATCCACGATATTCGCCCAAGACTCCATTAGGAACAAGAAACTCATCCCAGAAGCATGGCATCATGTCCAAGCCGAAAGCGTGAACGAAATTAGCAACTGAAATAAGTGGTATTTCAGCTTGGAGCGTGAACGATTCCAATCGAACATAGGTCGTATTATCTTGTCTCGCTCGCCAATAAGCCCAGGCCTCAGCATGGGCACGGTTTCCGAAGATCGACACGAATGGCGTGTGCAGCCGATTTCTCCATATTATATGCAGAGATGCGTACCACAGCTCGGTCTCAGTGTAGGTTCTTGTTTGAACAAGTTCTTGGATATTAATGAATGGGTTTCGAGCTTGAATACCAATGTGTTCACCGGCCTGGTCGTAGATAACACGGTAAAACTCATGGCCGGGATTCGGGTAGACTACGAACGTCATCTTTAAAGAAGGGAGAAAGAAAAATGAAGGGAGGCGAGAGGATTCTTTAATATCAGGATTTCATGTAAGCATCCTGCTAAATACGACTTCAAGTTACAAAAAAAAAAAAGATATGCTACACTTCTTCAAGGTCATGAAAAAATGAGTGGTCGGATAAATTAGTGGGTGCCTTCCAAAACCTACATAAAAAGGTTTAATCGAAAAGATTTTATACACCCTTTTGTCACCCTTTTATCAAGACGATGACTGATCAAACGCAAATCGTCAAAAACATACAACCATAACCTCATTAGAAAACAAAATCTGTCCGATATAATATGACACATAGGGAGTAAATTACTTATCCTCATTATAATGAACTGACTGGGACATTTTAAAGATACCCCCTGTGGCTTCCATATTTTGGATACGGACGCGCGAGAAACCTTGAAGGCACCCCTCTCCCTGCAACATTTGCCGCTGCGCCTCCTGATTCAGGAGTCCTGAAAGAAGACAATAATGGACGGAGACGAGATGTTAATCGTGCTGTGGAAGGGGTTAGATACTCGTCGTAGGCTGTCTATCCAGATCAAAGATATTTAGAAACGGATTTGCGTTGAGATAATGCGTGCCGAATGGAAGCGGCTGGTACGCACAAGACACTACATCACGTGTGACTGCCTTAAGAAGCCCGAAGACTCGGATTGGATGGACATTTGGACGCGGCGCCTCGAGAAGAACATGTTAAATATGACCAGCCTCTCAAGTTTTGTCAACTATCGATTTAGATAAATGTCTTAACCAACTTTTGTCTGTCTAGATCCTCCTTCAAGCGACTACTGGGTCGATTCTCTCTATTCTACCATTGTAACGGGCTAAGACCGTTACCGACGTACACTAGCGAACTGGGAAGGTTTTGGTATATTGAACTCTGAAGGTTAACTATCGAGACGGCCTCAGCACACGAGGCCGTCACAACCAGTGGATACGTACATAGTTCTGATTGGCCACCGCGATGGAGCGTTGGCGGCATTGTGTGACAGTAGCCTGTCACACCACCCCTCACTCAAAGTGGAAGAATCGTGGAGACGTCGGAGGTAGTGGCAGTCGGGAACTTGCAGCGCGGGGAGCAGGATGGACACGGGAAGAGAAGCAGCGGCGGGATCCGACGCTGGCAGTGAGTACGCCAGCGTCCTAAGACATCGGCGGTACGGCGATTGCTGTGGTTTCAAGAACCCACTGACGAACAGTGAGATGCAGAGCTGGTTCGAGCGGTGGCGCGGTGTGCGTGGCAAAGGCGTCACGGTGACGCGCACCGTGATGGAGGAGTCGTTCGACAACGCCTGGACTGCGTTCCAAGAACGGTGGAACTGCGAAACCGGACCTGTCTTCCGCAAGACCATCGCGGCTCGTGAGGCAACGCATGAACGTATGGCGGTCGGACTGCTGGCGGCGCGACTCTGCGAGCTGTCGTGGGCGGCGGACCGGCACTGCTGTTACGTGCATTACCTTGAAGGCTGTCCGAAGTGTCGCGGTTTCAGCC